AGTAATGAGAAGCTCTTAATACATTGCTTTCATGAGAGTCTATCTGAGGCTACATTGAACTAATACATGTAGTTGGAGGGAAACAGAATCCAGACCTGGAGGCAACTCATGGGCACATTCCTTAAATGCTACAAATACAACATAGACCTGATACCTGACAGGTCGAACCTCCAAAGCTTGAGCAAGAAAGATGAGGAACCTTTCAAAGCTTATGCGTAAAGATGGAGGGAGTTGGCTGCTTAAGTGGAACCTTCCCTGTTAGATAAGGAGATTGTGACCATTTTCATCAATTCCCTAACCGGGCCATACTACGATAAGATGATAGGGAACACGTTAAGCCTCTTTGTCGACATAGTTACTATCGGGGAAAGGGTCAAACAAGGCTTGAAAACCGGGAAGATAGGAAAGGCCCCCACGAGCCAAGAACCTAAGAAGGTTTTTGGGAGGAAGAAAGAAGGGGCACCCAGGGTGGAAAAGGAAGTCGACAAGATTCCCACAAGGTATGTGGCACTATTACCTCAACTCTTAGAAGCATCAATGCTAGTTCGACTTCCACCGCAGAAGAAAAGGGAACCACCATATCCGATATGGTATAAGCTCGAGGAGAAATGTGATTATCACTCCGGGTCTACAAGGCATTCTATAGAAGACTGCAAGGCCTTGAAGTATCGCGTGGAAGGGCTCATTGATGTCAGATGGTTGAAGTTCGACACTAATGCGCCAAACATCGATAAGCAACCACTCCCCAAGTATAACAAGTAGGGGTCTCAGGATGGTTTGTTGGAAAGCCGCTTTATGGGGCTCTTTAAAAATATATAGAAGTTTTTCTTTCTTGTTTTTGACTTGTGATCTCTACCCACGGTCACAAGTTCATATATGAAATAAGGGCTTGTATAAAGTTTAGCATTCATTGAATAATACAAGTCATCTTTTTTATTCTTTGGTTGTTCTTTTCTCCCTCCTGTGCACTAAATTCTAAAACTAATTACAGTACCTAAAGGCAAACATGAATGAGGATAACAAAATTAATTTGACTCTAAACATCCATGATGCATTGTTTGAGCCTGAAGTAAATGAGGAAGACATCTCTTCGGAACACATTTCATTAATAATCAACAGAACAATACAAGAAATGACATGATTGAAAGTTTATAGACTGGGTAAAGATAAAGCTACCCTATCAAGCTTATGGGCAATACCAGTTGCTCATCACTTCACAAAACCAATATCATAAGTTGGATTGTAGGAAAAAATGATTTTGCAATCTTCTACTAAGGATTCTAGTTCATATTTATCAATAGTTGAACTTTTTATTTTATCTACAATTACTTTGATATCCAATTGAGAGACCATATTGTTCATAAGCAACACATTGGAATGCTGATAAAAGTTCCCACTCCTCACCTCCCTGAACATCCATACAGGGTTAATATCAATCGGTTCTTACAACAACAATGTTAGCACTATCATCGCAAATACAAAAACTAATACCAATACAATTCTGCTCATGAAAAAAAACAGCATCACGTTACATTTGAATGAACCTGGTGCAAGTGGTGTCCATTACTCAACAATGTTGCTTCGAAGAACTGGTCTTATGCGTCCAATTGCAAATTGAGCTCTATTCCATTTCTAGAAAAATTCATCCCCGTGTTGAACTACAAAAGAATTCGAGCAAGCTTTATCACCCCAAATCTTATCATTTCATCTCTGTTACAAGCTTCAATACATCAAAGCTACACCTTGATGTTGCAGACTCAAATCTTGCAAGAAAGTAAAGATTAGTTGAGGGAGAGAATCCATTGTATTGAGAAGAACATCAATCTTATTTTTGAGTTGGACGTGCTCCCAACATCCCAAGTTTACTTGAAAATTTAAAAGTATATGAAGAGCAGTCTCAACATCAGTTCCACATAGTGAACAAACAACAGAGCAATCAACACACTACAATTTAAGATTCATATGTGTGGATAGGCACTCTACACAATCTCTGTAATAATGTCTTTATGCAACAAGGAACACGAAACTTTCAGATCAATTTTCAATCTCGAATCAAAGTTAGCTCATTATAATAAGCTATGCATGATTAAACTTTAAGCACTTTTCACTGTATAAATCCCATTTATGGTAGATGACCAAATTCTAACAAATAGAAATGGTCCCAATTGAAAATGCATCTTTTCACTTGTATCTTCTTCTGGGACTTATTTATTATTTTTAAATTAGTATCATTTTCAATCGTACCTCTTCAAAGCCTGCACATGAAGAGGGGTTTTTTACCCAGCAAGTCAGATTGTTGGTGCCATGTACGTGTGCTTAATAAAAGAAAATAAGCAAAGTCGTTAAAAATAAATTTAAATATGTTTTAAATCCTTTAATTTCTAATTCTTTCTTATTTTAATCTTTATAGAATATCATCAATTTAATATTTTTGACAATATTTTTTATCCATTTTAGATCTGCAACTCTGTATATGTTCCTTTTTTATGTTCTTTTTAGTTTATATTACTAACTAAAGTCAGTTTAATACTGACATGACTAATAAAATATAATAATATCAAGATAGTTTTTTTAAAAGAGAATACTAAAATAGTTAAAATAATAAATAATATATAAATAAAAATAATTAAATCATTTTTAAATTGATAAATTTGATTAAGTAATATACTTATTATTTTATATAAATAAGATAATCTATTTCATTATATAAAGGAATACTTCCAACTCACCTATAATTTTATTTGAATCAATTTTCAATTCTTTATGAATATACCTTCGTTGTTGCTTCACTTATTCCTCTTCAATGTTGAGCTTCTTCATCCAGATTAACATAAATTTAATAGGTTAATCTTTTGTTACGTTCACAAACATTATACAAATTTCTTAAATAGTCAAGCATATTCTTAAACTCTGAGTCAAATGTTGGAAATTCTGTGAATACCAAGCAAAAGTAATGATAAAATTATAACAAAAATGTTGGGATACAAACAAGTCTCACATCGATAAAATATGATAAAAAATAACAACTTATATAATACAAACATACTTCAATGATTGAGAGGCCTTTTGGGTGATGACCAAAAGCAAAACCGTGAGGGGTAAGGCCTAAAGCGGGGGAGGATTGTTGGGATACAAACAAGTCTCACACTTCAATGATTGAGAGACCTTTTGGGTGATGACCAAAAGCAAAACCGTGAGGGCTAAGACCCAAAACAGACAATATCTCATCATTATGGAGTATGTTTGTGTAATAACCTTATAAAAAATAACTCATAAAATATTCTCTCAGACAAATACCACAAAATAACCCCGTCAAAAAAGTTCTAGTGATAGGTTGTGGATGTCAAAATTGTGAGTCACTGGAAAAAGACATGGTGACTAAAAGGGGGCTGCTGAGATGTTTTGTATTTGTTTATATTTTGTAGAGACAAACATGATTTAATTTTATTTGAGTTCTTTATTGATAGAGCAAAATTATAATATAAAAATTCAAATAATAATATATTATCTTAATCTTAAAATCAAACTAATAATATCCTCGACCTAAATGATAAAAATTATATTTATATCTTATGTAAACAATATTCTAAATATTAAAAATGAAACAAACTTTCTAAAACTGAATTATCATTTCTTAAACTAAAAATATTTAGGCATGTTCTGGGATCAACAACACCCTCTTGCACAACGTGAGTGGGTTTTGTGGCCCGTGACTGGGTTTTGCTGTCAAATTTGGGTCATGGTCTGAGATGGTATAACCAAAAACAAAAACCGTAATTGGCGGAATTTAAAACTTTTACTTTCTAGAACTAAAATAAAAATAAGATGTTCAAAATTTAGTCATTGATGGAAACGAAAGTTATAGGAGAAAAAAGGTTAAAATATTTTTTTAATCCCTAGAATTTCATTTACTTGTTTTTTCAGTCTGGTTTAAAATAAACACTTGTAGTTCTTATACTAATTTTTTTAAATCTTTTTTAGTTTTTATAGTTTAAAATAGGTTTTTTAGTTTCTATATTTATAATTTTTTAAATCTTTTAGTGCATTATTTTTTTAAAAAAGAAAAAAAAGATACATTTATATTGAAAATGATTAACTTGAACTCTTTTACCTATATAAGGAGTTTGTTAGTAGACGATCTATAAATATTTTTGTAAGCATTTTTTAAGTCTATCTTGATATGTGGGAAATTTCTTGGATCAACTCATCTATATTTTTATTAATCAAGAAAAAAGGGAAAAAAAATTTGTACCATAACTGTGATAGGCTAAGTAGCAGCAATTTGTACCTAACCATTCCATCAAATTGTTGAAGTACAAAATAGTACTTGCTATATCCCTATGCCTCTATATATCATGGTCATCAACTTTTGTTCCATTCAAACACCAAAAGTCTATACTCTACAGGCATACCTCATGCAAGTTATCTCCTTACACGGTGTCTTTTTTGATACAATCCTTACTCAGTTTCTAACTAATGTTTTTATTTGTATATATTTATTACATTGACTAAATAAACGAAGCCATCCGCAATTCTTATCAAAATACCAAAAGTTTGAAGCATTTCTTTTTCATTATTTGTAAAAGAATTAAAACTAGGAGAAAGGGAAATTAGCATGTCACACATAAAACTGGATGGTTTGTTTATATATAGAACCAAATTTACCGATTATGTCAAGAAATGATTACTAACCTCGAGAGTCAAACATATTTTCTAGCTGAACAACTTGTTGTCGACACATAGTATCTTACCTTGAATATATAAAACCATATTCTAATATTCATAGTTCTGTCCGGCATTGAAGTGTGCGCCTAATATGCCAAGTCAACGTGACTTTATATTGGTATGATCAAGTTGTTAGTTTTGGACAAAAAGTCTTGATTCAATAGCTTTCGAATATGCTATCAGTTACTACTTCCATTCAGTTTGCAAATACCATATCAGTTTCATTATCCCACTTCTAAATTCCATCATTTGAAAAAGAAGTTAAGAGTAACTCCATGGCAGCTGAATTGGTGGGTGGAGCATTTCTCTCAGCTTTTATCCAAACTTTGTTCGAGAAGATGGCAACTCGTGACATGTTAGACTTCATAAGGGGAGTAAAACATGACAATGGTCTTAACCTGCTGGACAAGCTGAAGATAACATTGAGATCAATTGATGCTTTGGTCAACCATGCTGAAGAGAGGCAAACTACAGATTTGCACACAAGGGAATGGCTAAATGATCTCAAGGATGTCATGTTCAAGGCAGAGGACCTTTTAGATAAGATCAGTGTCTTGGCTTCAAACCAGAAACTGGAAGCTGATTCATGGAGTAGCAGCATAAGCAGCAAGGTATGTTGCTCTTCACTTGGTGGTTTTAGTGAGGAGATGGAATCCATTATACATAGAATTGAAAACCTTGTGAAACAAAAGGATGTTCTAGGTTTAAGGGAAGGTGTCAATGAGAAAACATTTAAGAATTTCCAAACAACTTCTTTAGCTGGAAAATCTTCTATCTATGGAAGAAATGCTGATAAAGACAATGTTATCAAACTTTTGCTATCAGTATCAAATGATGCTAGTGATAAGATATGTGTCATCCCCATAGTTGGTATGGGGGGAGTTGGGAAGACTACTCTTGCTCAACATGTATACAATGATGACAAAGTAAAGCAGCATTTCGACATCAAAGTGTGGGTTTGTGTTAACCAGGAGTTTGATGTCTTCAAATTGACCAAGACCATTCTAGAGGCCATTCCTTTGACATGTGATACAATGGATCTCAATCTGCTACAAGTTAAATTGAAAGAGTTCCTTCACAGAAAGAGATTTTTAATTGTTTTAGATGATGTTTGGAACGAAAGCTACATCATGTGGGAGATTTTAAGGCGTCCATTTGAATTTGGTGCTCAGGGAAGTTGTGTCCTTGTAACAACTCGCAACGAAAATGTTGCATCAACTATGCTCACTATTCCAAGTTACCATTTAAAACCACTAGAAGATTATGATTGTTGGTTGCTGTTTTCTGAGCATGCATTTGAGGGGGGAAGGTTCATAAAAAGTGCTGCACTGGATGATATTGGCAGGAAGATAGTGAAAAAATGCAAGGGGCTTCCACTGGCAGCAAAAGCTCTTGGGGGTCTCTTGCGGTCCAAAGTAGATTCAAGAGCATGGGTGAAGGTTTTGGAAAGTAAAATATGGGACTTTCCAAATGATAGGAGCAATATTCTTCCAGCTCTTATGTTGAGCTATTACTATCTTCCCTCCACTCTCAAGCGTTGTTTTGCTTATTGTTCAGTATTTCCCAAAAGTTACCAATTTCGGAGAAAGGAATTAGTGCGCCTATGGATGGCTGAAGATCTTCTGCCACATCCAAAAGGAAATGGAAATGTGGAAGAACTTGGTACTGAATACTTCAATGATCTAACATCTAGATCATTCTTTATCAAATCAAGTAAGAAACGCTTTGTCATGCATGATCTCATCACTGATTTAGCTGAATTTGTTTCTGGAGCGTTCTCATTCAGATTGGAGGGACACAAGGATAATTACCTATCAAAGAGAACCCGTCATTTGTCATATTCAAGGCTTCACCTTGATGATTTGGAGAAAATAATGGCTACATGTGAAAATCTACGGACTTTTCTTCCATCACAAGTTTTGTCATGGCCAAAATGTTTGAACAATGAGGCTGTAAGCAGCTTAATTTCAAAACATAGGAGTTTAAGGGTCCTTTCTCTCTCGCACTGTGGTAATTTGACAGTAGTACCAGATTTCTTGGGTGACTTGATACATCTTCGATATCTAGACCTTAGTGTCACTCCAATCTCCAAGTTACCAGAGTCCACATGTTCTCTGCATAATTTGCAGACTTTGTTGCTGTTAAACTGTGTTTATCTTACTGAATTGCCGCAGCAAATTGGAAGACTGACCAACTTAAGGTGTTTGGATATTAGGGGAACAAAATTAAGTGAAACTCCACTTCATATGGGTAATTTGACAAATCTTCAAAACTTAACTGGATATGTCCTGGGAAGTGGAGGAGGGTCAGGCATTGAAGAGCTGAAGAATTTTTCCTTTCTTAAGGGAAAGATCTCTATTTCAAATCTCCAAAATATCATTGATCCACAAGATGCTTTGAAGGATAAATTGTTGAGAAATATGCAACTTGATGGATTAATGTTGAGTTGGAGCACAAATGCAGATGATTCAAAAAATGTTAGAAACATTCTGCATTGGTTGGAGCCTCCTAAGACCTTGAAGAAGCTTACCATTAGAAATTATGGTAGCACGTCATTCCCACCCTGGTTAGGAGATTTTCAGTTCTCAAAATTAGTATCTATATGCCTTTATGATTGTGTTAATTGTCTAATTTTGCCAACACTCGGGCAACTTCCTTCCTTGAAAGCTCTCTCATTGGTGGGGTTTTCGAGTGTAATTTACGTTGATGAAATGTTTTACAATGACTCTTCTATGGAAGTGAAGCGATTTCAGAGACAAGATATTACACCCTTTAAGTGCCTTGAGACCTTGCACTTTGAGAACATGCCTCGGTGGCAAGAATGGCTTCCTTTTAAGGAGGAAGAGAAGGGAGATGAAAAAAGAGCATTTCCTTGTCTTAAACAACTATATATAAAAAATTGCCCAGAACTGAAAGTCGTGAACTTGATCCAAAAGCTACCAGCTCTAGAAAAGATTGTGATTGCAAAATGTGAACAACTTGTTGTTGCAGTTCCCCCAACTATTCGTGAATTGAGATTAGAATGTTGTGAGAAGGTTTCAATCCAAAGGCCACTGCCTCAATTATTAAACCTGACAATCAGTAGCTATAATGCAGTACAGTCACTATTTGAGGTAATAGACAACGAAAGTTCTTGTATTCAAAAGTTGAGCATCTCAAGTTGTCCACTCTCACAGCAGCTTCCTAGTAAAGGCATTGCAAACACATTAAAGTCACTCAATGTAACAAACTGTGACAACATTGAGTTTCCAATGAACCAATGCTTTGCATTTCTTGAGAGGTTATGCATCTCATGTAGCTGTAATTCCCTGAGGTCTTTCATAATGGATATGTTTCCAAAGATGGTCCACCTTGAAATACGAAGATGTCAGAATCTAGAATCTCTTGTAGTTTCTGGGGTGCAAGCACAGAATCTTCGATCTCTAAGTTCCTTAAAGATCTGTGAATGTCCTAATTTTGTATCTTTTCCTGAAGGTGGACTTGCAGCTCCAAATCTGACAAATTTACAGTTGGAGAAATGCAAGAATTTAAATTCTCTTCCTTTTCAGATGAATAAGCTGCTTCCATCCCTCGTGAGTTTGAACATAAAAGAATGTCCAGAACTCAAGTCATTTTCAGAGGGAGGTTTGCCAGATAGTCTGAACTTACTTGAGATATTTCATTGTGCTAAATTATTTACCAACAGAAAGAACTGGAATTTGCAAAAACTCGCCTCTCTTAGAAGCTTTGCCATAGCAGGTTCATGCCAAGATGGGGAATCATTTCCAGAAAGATGGCTGTTACCATCCACTCTCACATCCTTTCACATCCTTGCACTTTGGAATTTGAAGTATTTAGATGAGGACAGCCTTCAGCAGCTGACCTCTCTGGAGACTTTGGGAATTGCATGCTGCCCAAAACTTCAGTGTATGCCAGCAAAGCTTCCTGCTTCGATTTCCACCCTTCATATCATGACAAGTCCAAGACTTGAAGAAAGATGTAAAGGAAAAAGAGCTGAAGATTGGCCCAAAATCGCTCACATTCCGATGATACGAATTAACAAGAAATTGTTACAATAGAACCAACTTAGTTTTCTATAATTGTCTTATCCTATTGTTCAGGTATCTTCTCTAAAATTCCATATATTGGCTGCAACTCAACATGTTTGGCTTATATTTTATTTCTTTCTTTGCAGTGCTGTTTCGATGATACCAAAGTGACAAACTGGCAATAGTACTGAACCTATTTCATGTTTAAGTTCAGCATTACCAGTATGGAAGCTTTGTTCTGAAGGCCAAACACATTCTAGCTGATAAGGATTCAATTTTCATTATCGTTGCTTTCATGAATGTACAAATTACCTCCTTAATCAATTGCCATTTTTTAAGGTCTTTATCAGTCAATTACTCAATTACTTGAGAACTATACATGATCAAGTTGAAGAAGATTTGAACGCTTCCAAATTTTCGTATATGGCATATTTTTCTATTTTCTTTATCCTATCATTTCTAGAGATTATGAGCTTGGAGATTTGGTTGAGTAGGTGTCACCCTTATGCAAGTATAGGGTACGGCAAAATTTTTGAAGTATCCAATCGGTTTTGTTGTGCACAAGGAGTTTCACACATACATATCTTCACAATGGTAAGATATTTTCACTTTAGGTCTAAGTTTTCATGATTTTATTTTTTGGACATCACTTAAAAGGCGTCTAACCAAAGGAGTCAACAGCATGTATAAAAATTCATGTTTATTCTCTTATTTGAATTATGTAAGACTTTACTTGTATCCTAACAATTTTTCCCTCAAACAAAAGATCATGACTTAGCCTCACTTACCAAAAAAGTTATTAGTCCACGAATATATTTGATAGTAACCCATAGAGCTTAGTCTAAGTATTTATATTGCCGCTCCATCATGTTAATTGATCATAGCAGGACATACCTCCTAATCTCATGTTAGGAGGAAGACTCTCTTCCACACATGATCCACCTGTCAATTCTATCATACTCGTCAAGCTATTCACTTGGTCAACCATTGACTCTAATACCACTTATTGTGTACAAGGGTTTTGCATATACACATGTTTTCAAAATAGTGAGATATTGTCTACTTTATACTTAAGACATCACGCTTTTCCTTTTGATCATTATTAAAAAGACTTCTAACCAATAAAGACAATTATGTATATGTAAACTTATATTTATTCTCTTGTTTGAATGGTACGAGACTGTATTTGCATCTCAATAAAATTGATAGGCTGAGCAGAGAAATTAGTTTCTCAGTCAGTGGGTGTTACCATTTCCCTTTTTTTATCCTAATTCGTATTTGCCAATTGCCATCTTGTAAGGAGCATGCTCCATTTCATTGTCATTGTATTCTATAGTTCTTCTGCTAATATACTTTAAGAGAGGATTCCTCCTCTGGTTTCAAGGGGATGCTTAAAAAAAAAAACATATATATATCAGTTCTATTCCCTTATTTAATATATCTCAACAAGTCGGAAGGTTGCAAAATTTTGCAATGAGATTGAAAGCTTGTAGATGGGGAAGTTTTCCCAGCTCAACAAACATCAATCCATCATGTTGTTTTCTGACAACAAAGCCAGACAAGGCTTGGAGATGTTCTAGTCTGGCTAATGGCATCTCCCTCAAATGAGTACTACTAATGTCAAGGTGGCATAGACTCACCAATCATCCCATGTCCTCGGGCAATTCACTGCATGTTTGGAACCAATTCATTAAAGGGGATGAATCCTCTCTCTCCACGTCCAAAAGGAAAAAATCAAGAGAAGCTACTACTATTAGCTTCTATGTTCCTGTTTGGTATCTCATCGTGGTATAACATACGCAAGTCATAAAAGACAATACTCCAAGGAGTAGCTTCAGATTTTCTGCCTTATTGGGAAGGCCGTAACGGTGGCAAGATCATTGAACTCACTCCAAATTAAAAATATTAAAAGAAACACTAACGAAAGAAATTAGTATCTTATTAAAAATATTAAATTATATTAAAAAAAATCATATCCATATAATATTTATGGAATAATTAAAATATTTGCATTGAGTATCACTGCAAAAGAATTTTTATAAAATTAATTCTTTTAGATATTCAATTAATATAAACTATATATGTTACAATCGAATGATTTATCATCAAGTATAATTTCAAAATTATTTGATTATTAAAGTTTAACTAAAAAGTTAAATTCAAAAAGATAAAATAATTAAATAAATATAATAAAATATATTAAAATATGACTCATAAAATTTATCTAATATTTAAAATTTTCTTAACAAGAACTTGTTTATCGGACATGGAATTGGTGTTGGATGTGATGTGAAGGAGGTGGTTGTAAACATGCACTATGCCATGCGGATCAAACAAGACTTGATGCTCTCGGTGAGTCTCTCACATTTGGATTGCATAGCACAGAAAGTAACCTTTTAATATCACTGTGAGAGATATTCAGGTATGGCACAAGTATATCAAATTTCCAATAGAGGCGGGACAGCTGAGTGATATTCGTCTAGTTTGACATAGACAGCACACATAAGTGTTTATGTTAGATTTATGAGATTTTTCTTTATTTAAATTTTGAATCCCTTTAAGTTCTCTCTTTGGATGACTCCGTTGAAGTTAATAACACCTATTAAACTACAAATTAACTTGATCAATCCAATGCATAATTCTAGATCATGTAAATATTTCTTTTGTAAACAAATGGAAGCTATCAAAAAAACAATATTTCAAACAAAGTTTTCTTCAATCTAGTACATAAAAGTCCATCACGTACATAAAAAAGTCTTTCTTCAACAGAAAATCACATCAAAAAAGAAAAGACTACCCCTAACCAATGTTTCTTCTAACTTGGTAGTTAGCAAACATACTCATTGCTAATGCATCTCGAAATCTTGTCCATTTCTCAATAACTTAAATAGTTGCAACCTTATCTATGACATTGTTTTGAACTCTTTCTCTCCATTGGTTGGTTAGCTCCTCATCAACAATAGATAAGAGCTCCAAGTCTTGAACCTCTAAAAGTTGATCAATTTGTTGCTTGTCCCTTATTAAATTGTGTAACACAAAACAATCATTAATAATTCTTATTTGTATCTTTATATAAAAAATTGAAGTAGTTCTTAATATGCTCCATCTTTCTTTCAATATTCCAAAATACCTTTTTATTGCATTTCGCGCACTTGAATGACGAAGATTAAATAACTCCTTGAAATTTTGAGGGGTCATTTAGATGATATCTAATCCCTTGATATGGTGCTAAGAATCATGGACTATTGGTATATCCCGCATCCATAAGAAAGTACTTACCTATAATTTTTAAAAATGAAAATCACAACCTAGAACTAGATAAAAATTAAATAAAATATTTTGTACATGATATTACCACCTGGAATTTCAAGTTTATTTTGACAACATAAAGCATATCTCATAATACTCAAGAATCTCCTACTGACCCTTCCCACCCAGGTAACGCATAAATAAACCTTAAATCTAGACCACAAGCTACTAACATACTTGTAGGATATCACCATTTCTATTACGATATTTAGGCCTATCTTTAAGAGAAACTGTTACCAGAATATGTGTCTCATCAAGTGCTCCAGCACATTTCTACAAACAACACAAGTTTATTTATATATTTAGTTTTTAAAAAATGTTTATCGTAAGTTTGACTAGCCTTACAATTGATAAACTTACCTCAAACCATCTCCATTTATTTTCACTTGGACCTTCTAGATAGGTATGAAACTTCAAATAATCCCGACTCACTTTCATTACAGCTCTTAAGATATTATTAAATTGCCTGCTTATTATTTCTTTAGATCTATAGGAACTAAAGTGCATTACTCTATACTTTAGGTTGTGAGAAAGGATATGTAAAAACATTGCCACTGCTTTAGTTATTGAAACATTTTTTATTCTTACTAACCCCTCTTTTTTTTTTATTTTATAAAATTCTACAAAGCTTGAAAATGCACTCTTACTGAGCCTTAAGTGTTCAATACAATCTTTTTCTGCCCCTCTATAAAGATGGTTAAGGAATCTATGTTACTCTAGTTCTCAATTATGAGCTAGTTCCTTGACAAAATAATTATGGTACCATGCTACTGCACCCATAAGCATATAAACCACGCAAGCAACAACAAATATGATTATCTCCTTAAACTCTTCTCTCTTACGTTTTCTTGAAGTAATTCTGGTATTAATTATGCTAACATCCATTTCTTCTCAATCTACACCCTATGAAACTAATATAAGTGAGAAAAAACTAAAGTAATTAAAATGGAATATAAAATAATTTCAAATATATTATATATGCCTAGTTTTTACTAGATATAAATTCATTGTAGTTCAATATACATTAGCAATAATAGTTAACTAATAATAATAACACCTATTAAACTACAAATTAACTTGATCAATCCAATGCATAATTCTAGATCATGTAAATATTTCTTTTGTAAACAAATGGAAGCTATCAAAAAAACAATATTTCAAACAAAGTTTTCTGTCTGCAAGATCCAATTTTTCTACATTTTTGTCAAAATATTTCCAACAGTTTCACTTATATCAACAAATACAACAATGTAATAATAATAACAATCTAACATTAAAACATGACATTAAAAAAGGAAAATAATGTAATAATAGTTCTCACATTAAAATGATATTATTTATTTTGAGTCTAATAGTGTTTATGATTTTGATTTTGATCATCTCTCAAAAGATTTTTATCAAATAAAACATGTGTTTTTATAAATTCATGTTCTAACAATGTAGGACTATGAATGTATCCTAACTGACAAAGATTTTGAAACTATAAGGATTTTTTTCGAATCTCTAACATACACTTTATCTTTTGACTATGAGAGAGAAATTGCACTGTCTCTATTCATCAAAGTTGACCCTTCGATGATATTGTCTTATGGGAAATTCGATTCAAGGTCCATGCCTTGATCAATGTATTCTTCCAAGCTGCCAAGAGTGGGTTGAGTGTAATAATGCAAATAATAAGAAGGGGTGTTGAATTGTGGTTGTTTAGTTGCATGTATAACTCA